GTTTTCCCCCCACTTCCCATCATGTCCATATTTTCGGGTGAATCGACGAGTAATTGTGTCTGTGTGTTTCTTCCCCTTCTAAATCTTGGGTCCTCCTGCGAACCTGCCTTGGGCCTCTGGAAGGCCTCTTGCGGCAGCTTGAACGCCTCTGGTACCGTTCCTGGGCGGTCCCCCAAAAGTCCCTTCTGAAAGGCAGCCCAGGAAGCTCACTCCAGAATCGCCTTGGAGCCATCCTGGGCGTCCTACGGGCTCTGTGGGGACTCTCTCGGGACCGTCTTGGAAAGCACATGGAGCTTGGGGCCCCTTTGGGCCGTCTAGGGCCTCTCTTGGGAACCTGATGGGCCGTGATGTAGGAGGCTCTGGGAGCCGTCTGGAACCGTCCTTGGAGCGAACTGGAGAGAACCTGCAACTCCTTCAAACAGTACGGAACGTATACGATTTGGGCCTCGTGGGGCCCTCATCGGGGTGCTTATGGGCCGTCTTGGGAGGCCTCCTTGCTTGTCTTGGGGCCGTCTTGGACCATTCTGAGGCTTGCTCCGGGTTCTCTGGGACCGTCCTGGCGCTCTTCGGAGCGTCTCCGAGCCGACGTTGGGGAGCCTTCCAGCGACCGTCCAGGTCCGTCCAAGACCGCCCCGGGAGCGCCGGTTACTGTGTCGGGGCGCCCCGCCCCAGGCCGAGCGGCGGCAGCGCAATCTCGCGCGGACTGATTCGAGCATTGTAGTAGTACAGTCGGACCTGGGACAAAAGAACGTCCTACAAGAACATCGGACCCTCCGCCGGCCAGAATGAAGAGCAATCGAGGGTACCCTCCCCCAGGATGCACCATAACACCCAACAAACACGAAGAACATTAGGGTACCCTCCCCGAACTGACCTCGATCTGATGCCTCGGTCCGACTGTATAGATGGCAGCGGGCTGCACCTTCGCCTGCCGCATCTTGCTCAGCAGCGCAAGGGCCCGCGGCCACTGATCACCCCTCGCGTACGCGCCGGTCTCGGCGCCGTAGCTGACCAGGGCTGGCCCGTGGACTAGCGTCCACGAGACAGCTGCTCGGACGGGCAGGTGGTGTGCTGGCAGCAATTCTGCCGAGGGGCGTACATGATGGCAGCGGGCCCGGGGCCCGAGCAGCGCTGGCGGGGAAGCGGGCAGGGAGGGAGCGAGCAGGGAAGAGCGACGAAGCGCGAGTGAGGCGGGAAGGAACCGTCGCGGGGCCCTCTGGTAGTTGCGCTGTTGGGGCCCTCGTGGCCCCGCGTGGACTGGCAGGGGTGAGACGCGAGGGCGGAGGCAGAGGGAGCTGACGGCCGGGGGGGTGAGGAGCCAAGTGGCGGCCAGCAGAGGTGCGAGCAGCGATGGGGTGAGAGCAGCAGGGAGCGAGGAGAGAAACGCAAGGAGCGAAGGGCTCGGAGGAGTGCCGGGGAGAACCTGGGGGAACCGCCAGGAGGGCTCCGTGGACTACTGCTCGCGGAAGCGGAATCGCATGCAAGGGCGAGGATCGCTTGACTGCTTGTCGAATCGCCTGCTGGCCTGCTTGCGCAGTTGCTAGACTTGTGACTTGATAGCTTTTGGCCAGATCTCCTGCTATCCATGTTGCTTGCTTCATGGTCTGCCCGTCCTGTCGCTGCCGCTTCATGCCGCTTGCTGATGCTCGGTGCTGGTTGCTGGACATTCTGTATCCATGTTGCACTTTCTCGCCACTCCAGGGTGCTGTTGGTCGTTGCGTGATGCTGCGTCATGCGGCTTGGCGCTACTGCGTGCTGCTGCTGGTTGCTGGTCGATGCTTCGTGCCTGCCACTGTGCTGATGTTTGCTGCCGCTGTTGCGAGCTGTTGCTAATGCTCGCCGATGCTGCTTGCTGCCTGCTGTTGCTGCTGGTGGCTGCAGGGTGATGCGAATTGCCATTTCTGCTTGCTGCTGCTTGCTGTTGCTGTGCTCGGCAGCTGCTGCTGGTCGTTCGCTGCGGCACGGTGCTGTACGTCGCGGTGCTCGTCCGAGCTGGCGCAGATTGTTGCTCGTGGAGAGGGCTGAGGAGCAGGGAGCGGAGAAGCGAGGAGCGATCCGCGAGGACAACGCCGCTCGAAGGGGGCTGCGACGGGCGTGGAGAGAAGGGGGGCGAGGGGGGTGAGGGGGGGATGGAGGAGAGCCGAGGAGGGAGGAGGAAGACGCGAGCAGCCCAGGGGGAGGATCAGGGGCTGGGAGAGGGGGAGCGGTGAGCAGAGGAGCATGGCGCGAGGAGACAACGCGAGGAACGAGGAGCAGTGGTAGAGGAGCGAGGGATGATGGGCGATCAGTGTGAAACGAAGAGCGAGGCTCGAAGTGAGGAGGGAGACCTGAAAAGCGTCCAACGCACGAACCTCCCAATGTCCTGGTCGAACGTGCGGCCGAACACTTGGGCTTTTCTTGGGTCGCCGCTCATGGGTCCCTCTTGGAATCAACTTCGGGCCTTCCTTGGGGTTTCCCGTCGCGCAAGCCATCGCACCAACTGGGTAGTTCTTGTTCCCTCACATCCTGAGCGGGGTTCTTGTTCCCCACGACCTCAGCGGGGCTCTTGTTTTCTCTGGGCCCTTCCAGCGCAAGAACAGGAACATCAGGAGGATCGCCCCCCCACAGCATCAGCATCAGCATCATCAGCATCATCAGCATCATCATCAGCATCATCATCATCATCATAAGCAGCATCACCATCATCATCATCATCATCATCATCATCATCATCAGCAGCAGCAGCAGCAGCAGCAGCACCATCATCAGCATCGCCACCATCAGCATCATCAGCAACAACATCACCAGCACCATCATCGATACCATCACTGCCGCCAGCATCACCTCGCCATCACCATCACCATCACCACCACCATGATCACCATCATCAACACAATCATCATTATCATCATCATCATCATCATCATCATCATCATCATTCTTATTACTATTCTTACTATTAATACTATCAGTATCGTTGCTGTGAGTGTTATTATTCTTATTTTTCTCATACGCACCGTCATCATTAACCATCAGCATACTCATTCATCCTCATCCTCCTCCTCCTCCTCATCATCCTCATCATCATCATCATCATCACAATACGCATCATCATCATCATCATCATCATCATCATCATCATCATCATCATCATCATTATCATAATCATCACCAGCATCAGCTTCATCGCCAGCAGCATCAGCATCAGCATCAGCATCAGCATCAGCATCAGCATCATCATCATCATCATCATCATCATCATCATCATCAGCGTGGATCTGCAAGATGTCTCGAGCGGGGGCCTCGTCGGAGAGCGAACTGTGAGGACATTTCGGGCGGGAACACCCTTCCTATGGGGCCGCCAGATCATGTTAGTAATCCGGGCGGGTCATGTAGATCCTGTAAGTGTCGTCGCTCTTGGGCATTCTGAGACGTGGACCTGGTGGAACTCTCGAAGTGGAGCCTCGTTTGTGAATGACTTGTGAGGCAGTCTCAGGCGAGAGCCCCTTCCCTGTGGGGCAGCCTGATTATGTTAGTGCTCAGTCGTCACTGTTTGGCTCCTGAGGCGTGGATCTGGAGGACGTTTCGATCGAGCAGGAAAGTGGTCTGTAAGTGACTTGCGAAGAGTTCTCAGGCGGGAGCCCCTTCCATACGGGGCCGCTGGATCACGTCAGTAATCCAACCAGGTCATCCAAACCTGTAGTAAATGTCCTGACTTCTGGGCTGCTGGAGCGCAGATTGAAAGGGACTCTCGAGGAGGAAACTCGCCTGCGAGTGAATTTTGACGAGACGTCGAGGGGGACCCCCCAATCATGGGACCGCCCAGCCATATTAGAAATCTAGATCCTGTAACAGTCGTCGCTCTGGGGCTCCTGAGGCGTGGACGCGGAGGACATCTTGCGCAGGAACCTCGTGTGTGAGTGATATGTGAAGAAATCTCAGGCGGGAGCTCCCTCCCTATGGGGCCGCCGGATCTAGTTGTAATGCCGAATGGGACATCCAAAACTTGTATGTGTCGTCACATCTGGTCCCCTGAAGTGCGGATCTGGAGGATATTTCGGACGGGGGCCTCTCTTGGGAATGACATGTTAGGAAATATCGGGCGGGAGCCCCTCCCTGTAGGGGCCGCCATATCATGTTAGTCAAGAGATCTCGAACAGGAGCTTCGGTTTTGAGTTGTTTCTGGAATGGTCCCAGGCGGGAGCCCCCTCCTTGTGGGGCCGCCAGGTCATGTTAGAAACCAGAACGGGCCATCCAAACCTTGAATCATTTTTTGGGGGGGCTTCGGGAATTGCCCGGCGTATTGATCTAGTGCCTCCGCGGCCCGCGGCTCAGTGACCTGGCCCACGGGGTTGCCCCTACGGCTTCGCGATCTGGCTGTCGAAAGACACGCCCCAGCTGGCCGCGGCGGCGACGGCGCCGAGAAAAATCGTCAGGTGCGCCCATGCACCGGGGGCGGGGGAGGAGGTGCGCCAGGGAAAGGGCAGGAGGAGAAGGAGAAATAAATGAAGGAACGGGGATGGAGAGGATGAGGGTGAGGATGAAAAGGAGGAGGAAGAGGAGGAGGCCGAGCAGGGGGCGGGAGGAAGGCTTCTGCCAGTCCGAGGAAGAAAAGGCGAAAAGGGGAGATAGGATGAGGGCCTCCGCTATCAGTCGGACGACGGGGGGTACTGCACGACCAATCAGGAAGTCTCTCGTGTGGAAATCTACCGTCGGAGCGATTGGCTCCTCAGGCGTGGATCTGGAGGAACTCTCGAACGGGAGCCTCATCTGTGAATGATTAGTGAGGAAGTATCAGGCGGTAGCCCTTTCAGTATGGGGCCGCCAAACCATGTTAGTAATCCGAGCGGGTCGTCCAACGTCTGAAACAGTCGTCACAGTTGGGTTCCTGAGGCGTGGACTTGGGGTACGTTTCGAACGGGGGCCTCGCTTCTGAGTGAATGGTGAAGAAACCCCAGGCGGGCACCCACTTCCCTACGGGTTCTGCATATCGGCTGCGGTACAAATGGTGCGCGCCAGGCCAGCTCTTTCGCCTCCGCTTCCTACCGCAGGGGGTCCGGATGCAGGTACGCGGCGTCGAGCTACCAAGATCTACCAAGAGGTCGCCGAGCTGCTGATACAGGGTGCCGTAAGAAATGGCGACGATGGCCAGGCCGAGGCGCGGGCGCGGAGCTTGCTCGCGTTCGCGCCCAGCGATCAGGAACCCACGTGGCAGAGCTCGGGGCCGCACGCCGTGCGCCGCTCTGGCCCACCCTGGCGCACGCGGCCTAGCTCGCCTCCGCGCTGTCGCAAGGTCAGACGCTGCGGAAAGGCGTCGCCATCGATTGTGCCGTGGATGAGGACGCTGGCTGCTCGGGCATGGCGGACGAGCAGTGGTGGGTGCACCTCGGCGTCATGTTCTCCCGCGCCGCGTGCATGCCGAACATGCTGACCATGCGGCTGTCCTCGCGCGAGCTTCTAGAGCGCAGGCCGCCAGCGTCCTTGCGGAAGGCGCTCGGGGAGTTCGACAAGAACGCGGCGAGCTCCAAGGCTGAGGCCGAACAGATCGCCGCCGAGCTTGGTTTCGCGCCGCCTCCCGCCTGAGCGCGGCTGCGCCCCGCTCGAAACTCGTGGGGTTGCCTCAGCGGCTTGGTCTCGCGCGTCAACGGCCCGAGGGTTTGCCCCAACGGCGTGGTTCGCGAGATTGCCCCAACGGCTTCGCGATTTGGTCATTGGAGAACGCGCCCATGCCGACCGAAGCGGCGACGGCGCCAAGGAAAATCGATGTGCGCGCCATTGTAAGAGGAGTGGGGGACGTGGCGGAAGGGGGGGGCAAGGCAAGACGTCGGGAAGGAGGCAAGACACGGTGCAGGAAGAAGGCCTGCGCCAGGGGGAACAAGATAAAGGTGCAACAACAACAAGACGATAACCTCCGCAACCACAGGGACGATGATGATACTAACGCTTACACTAACCGAACATATTAGCATGTGGGGTCCTACAGCCGGAAAAGTTTTCCATGGACGCCCCGCACCGGAACACACACACACACAAACCACACACAACACACGCAACACACAACACATACACAACACACGCAACACACAACACACACACAACGCACATAGCACCCGTACACACGCACACACAATCAAACACGCGCAATCACGCGCGCACGCACACAACACACAAACACACACAAGCACACACATAGCACACACGCACCACAAACGCACTACACACGCACTGCTCTTTTCACACTCATCATCACCATCACGCCAGCATCACCATCATCGTCCTCATCTTCATCATCAGCATCACTAACACCATCCCATCGTGATCACGGCCATCAGCATCACCATCATCACCGTCATCACCATCATCACCGCGCGCACTCGCTCACGCATTCGCTCACGCACTCCCGCGCCCCCTCACATACTTACCTCCCGCAGTCCACAGTCCCTCACACGCTCGCTAATACACTCACTCACAAACATTCATGTGGAAAGGGGTCTCGAGCGGAAGCCTCGTCCGTGAGCCGGTTGCGAGAAAGTCTCAGGCGGGACCCCTCTCACTATGGTGCCCGTGTTTCATGTGAATAATCCAAAAATGCCGAAGTTCCGTGATCATCGCGCCGCCACAACTCCGCTCACAGTGCTGATTTACAATGTCTGGAACCAACTGACATTCATAAACTTCATAAGTTCATTTGCGTGACAGGAGCCAAGTGTAAGACTTACTTTTCGGGCTCTTCATGTTCCCCGAAATCCGCTCGTGGGGCTGACTTGGCACGTCCGGAACCAACAGCAAGCCATTTCGGGCGTTTCGTGCTTTCAGAACTCCACTCTTGGAAAATATTTTGAATGTCCGGAGCCAGCTGTAAACCATTTCGGGCTCTTCGTCTTCCAGAATTCGATTCCCAGCTACGCTTTCGAGTGCTCAGAGCCAGCTGTAAGCCACTTCGGGTCTTTGTGCTCCCCAAAATGCACTCACAGGACTGACTTTGAATGTCTGGAACCAACTGTAAACTACTTCGGTTTGCTCGTGCTCCCAGACATCAGCTCTTTGTAATGATTTTCTATGGATTTTGCGTTCGCATCCTGGCGCTTCGGGCATCCAGGCGCAAACCCCGAAATTCTGACAGTCTCACAGATCCCACAGGCCCCATAAGTCGTACACGCCCTACAGGTCGGACAGGTCCCATAGGCCTCACAGGTTTCAGATTCCCACATGTAGCACAGGACGGGACCCACAAGTCCCATACGCCCCACATGCAGCACAGGTCCCACAACTCCCACAGGTCGCACAAGTCCTACAGATCCCACAGGTCTCACAAGGTCGTACGGGTTGAAAAAGGCCACCAGGTCCCGTAGGTCCAGCATGCCCAAAAGGTTGCACAGAGCATCCCGGCCTCTTGCGATGCTGTTACTCTGTCCCCAAAGCATTCCTGGCATCCGGGGATCTTGCCTTGCTGTCATCCAGGGATTCTGGCCGCCTGGTATCCTGGCGCCCTGGCACCTTAGCATTCTCTCCATCGGTAGTCCTCGATTGTCACGCACATGTACACCAAGAAGACTCTCATGCGGGGTCCCACCGTCGGAATATTTTGTATCTTTGCGTGGTGAAAATTCCATTGTGCGGCGGGATTGATGGTCTGTGCAGGCCTTTGGGCTAGGGTTAGGGTTCAAGGCCTCTCGGTGCTGATTTGGGGCGTCTCGGGGCGGTCGGGGGTTCCGTGGGGCCATGTTCGGGCGGTCTTGCGGCCGTCTTGGGGCCATTTTGGGCCATCCTGAGGCGGTTTTAGGCTGTCTTGGGGTCGTCTTGGGGCCACCTTGCAGGCTGGGTCCGTCCTGGGCTATCTTGGGGGCGTCGTGGGCTACGCTGGGGGCCGTCTGGGAACCGCGTCGGGCCACGCCACGGCCATGCGACGCACTGCTGGAGTAAGGTGGAGACGACAGGCTGGGGAAGTGAGGCACAGTGAACAACGCAACAAGCTTGGGACGACTAGCAGGGTCAGCTGCCTCTCTGACAAGGCCTTCGGGCCTCCCTGGTAAGGTCTCGCGCTCGCTGCCCGGGGCCCAACCAAGGGAATATGCTCTTCCCGCACGCGGCTGGCTCAGTTTTGTATAAGAGCTAACGTCGGGCTCTACAATTATCTCCCACATCTCCACGAGTAGCGAAAGAGCCTGCTGCCACTGCTCGGCTTTCTCGCACGCGCTGATTCCAGCGTTGTAACTTAAGATGTCGGGATCGATCTTCGTCTGTTTCATCTCCCTGATAAGCGACAGCACTTGCTGCCACTGCTCGACCTTCTCGCACGCGCGGATCCCAGCCATGTAGCTGACTAGGGCTGACCCGTGGACTCCGTCCGCGACGTCTTTCTAGAATGGTTCTCGGAGAAGCGGCGGAAATTTGCCGAAAACGCATCAGCACAGGCAGCGAGACCGCGCCTTCGCGTCCGAGCTCTAGCAGCGCTCCAGCAGCTTAGCAGTCGCGGGGCCGCCGTCGTCGCCGTCGTCGCCGTCGTCGTCGGCGTCATTGTCGTCGTCGCCGCGAGGCCGCCGTCGTGCCCGTCGTTGTCGTGGTGGTGGTGGTGGTCGTCGTCGTGGGTTGCGGGCGCCAGAAAGAGTCTGGCGACGTCGGTGGGACTGGCCCGTGGACTCCGCCCGCAAGCGGGCCTGGACAATTTCTGACCAAACCGCCCCCCCCGGGTGCAAATGCTAAGAAATTGCCTGGGGCCGCCCCGCTCTATCTTCACAATGCAGCTCGAGATCCGCGCTGGCACACTGACTTGGTGCCGTCGTCGTTGTGATCGCGGTCGTCGGCTCAGTCGCGTCGTCGTCGCTGTTGCTGTCGCTGTCGCTGTCGCTGTCGCTGTCGCTGTCGCTGTCACTGTCGTCGTCGTCGTCGTCGTCTAAGGGGTCGCCTGCGACGTTGCCCCCCTCCTCCTCCTCGTCGTCGTCGTCGTCGTCGTCGTCTAAGGGGTCGCCTGCGACGTTGCCCCCCTCCTCCTCCTCCTCCTCCTCCTCCTCCTCCTCCTCCTCCTGCTCCTCTAACGTCTGCCTCGAGGTAGCGCATGGAGGAGCAGTCGTCGTGGCCTTGAGTGTCGGCGCGTGCATGTGACGAAAGCCATCGACTCCAGAACGGAGCGCGGAGCAGCGGTGGACCTAGATTGACTTTCTAATTAGGTCTCCTGCCGGTGCCGCTTGTTTAACGTGTGCTTACTTGCTGCTGGCGGTAAGCGCTCTTTTCCGCCACAGCTAACGCTCGGGAGCCTCAGCGTTCAGAGCTTTGGGTGTGTCACCGTTCGCTCTTGAAGTCTTCGCGCTGGCGCTTGGGAGCCTCGTCGTTCATAGCTTTGGGTGCGTCACCGTTCGCTCTTGAAGTCTTCGCGTTCAGAGGGTCGGACGTCATCTAGACCCTGGTGGGGCTCTCTTCGGGGTTTTCTGGGGCCTCCTCCTTGTCCTCCTCCTCCTCCTCCTCCTTGTCCTCCTCGTCCTCCTCCTCCTGTCCCTGGGTCCTTCATCTCCTCGATCTCCGATCGCCAATCGTGGACGCTATGACGACGCTCCCCAGAAGGCGAGCATCCAAGGCCCTCGGAGCGTCCAGAGCGGCTCTTCCAGGCCTGCGATCTGCGTCTCGCCTCTCGTCCGCCACCCTCTCACGGAGGCAAGTTCGAAGCCACTTAGGGCGTTATGGGGGCCGGCTGTTTGGGGCCTGCGATGTGCCTCTCGCCTCTCGTCCGCCCCCCCCCCTCTCTTGCAGGGAATCCTGAAGCCACTGAAGGCCTCTTGGGAGCCGTTTGGGGGACTCTTGGGGCTTCTTGTCGGCTTCATGGGGGCCTTTTGGGGCCCTCTTGGGCCGTCTTGTGTGCCTTTTGGCCCGTCTTGGGCGCCTCTTGGGCTGTCTTGGGCGCCTCTTGGGCCGTCTTGGGCCGTCTTTGGTGGCTCTTGGGGCTGTCTTGGGTGCTTCTTGGGTCGTCTTGGGCGCCTCTTGGATCGGCCTGGGGCCGTCTTGGTGCCCTCACGGTGGCATCTTGGGGCGATATTGGGGGCTGGCCTGGCCGTCGTGGACGCGTCGGAAGCGAGAAGCGCAATCATGCCCCAAATGCATGTTTTCCAGAGAGGGACTGTGGCGATTCTTGCCTCTCGGGGCTCTCCTGTGGGATCCTCCAGGGCCGTCTGGGGAGCCTCCTGGCCTGCCCTGGGGGCCTCTGGGAGCCCAACGGGGCCGTCTTGGGGCTCCCTCGGGCGCCTCCTGGGCCGACGCCGGGGGCCTCCTGGGCCGTCCGGGGCGCCCCGAGGCCCGCACAAAAGGGGCCGTGCGACACGCACTCGCACACCGCCTGGGGGGATCGATTGGCTCTGTCGCTCCAGGAGGCCCTCTCGGGGGCCCTCTTTTGGAGGGGCCCCGGGACACACAAAGAAATACACACAAATAAACATATTCCCCATACTTCCCCATATTTTCTGGGTTTTTGTCTTCCCCCACACTTCCCATATTTTCCTGGGAGTCGACGATGAATGGTGTCTGTGTGTTTCTTTCCCTCCTGATCTTTCTTGGAGGCGTCTGGGGGCGCGTCGGGGGCCTCTCGGGCCATCCGGGGCCGCCTCGCGGCGCCCTGGAGCCGTGCTGTGGAGCTCGCCATCGGGCGGCCCAGCGCCTCTCGCGGGCGGTCCCTCGGGGCCCTCCCCGGGGCCCTCCAGGGGGCCGCCTCGGAGCGCCCCCCCCGGGCCGCCAGGAGGCGCGGCAGGGGCGGGCTGGTGGCTCCTTGGGCGCCCGCCGCTCCTCCACGCTGAAGGGGCCCTGGGACACACAAACAAATACACACAAATCAAAGGATCCCCCATATTTTCCAAGATTTCCTGGGTTTCTGTCTCCCCCCCCCACTGCCCATATTTTCCCATATTTTCGGGGGAAGCGACGATTGATTGTGTCTGTGTGTTTTTTCTCCTCCTGACACGCAGTGGCCCCCCCCCACCCGAGAGGATGTGGACGACGCCGGGCTCCACCTCTGCCTGCCACATGTCGCCGAGCAGCGCCAGAGCCCGCTGCCACTGCCCGCCTTCGCCGCACGCGCCGACGGCGGCAAGGTAGCACCCGGGGCGGGCGGCCGAGCGTGCTCGGGACGCCTCGCGGAGGACCTGCAGCGCCGCGCTCCACTGCTTCGTCGCCCCGAGCTTCTGGATGGCCGCGTCGAGGGCGGCACCGCCCTGCCATGACTCTCGTCGGACGTCCGCCATCCAAAGGAAGGGCCTTCGCCGGGTGACTCGAGCCGGGAGGGACGCAGCAGCGCGTGGCGGTTCTGCGGAGGTCGCCACGCAGAGGGCGGCGCCGACGCGGCAGCGGAACTCACCGGAGGCAGCCGACGTTGACAAACCTCGATTGCACCAGACCGTTTCGCACAAGCTGGCGAAATACAGTCGGGGCGTTGACCTAAGGAACCCTAAATAAGGAACGAGGCCCCTCTTTTCCATAAGCTGAACTACGATTTCCCATCGAACATCGATGGGAAACCTAAGGCAAGCTATCAAACAATCAAGGAACACGGAGCCCCTTCTCAACGAAAAGGGTTCCTTCGTCAGCGCCCCAACTGTAATGCTGTCTTCGCCCATGAGCTCCCCGTGGGTACGATGGGGAAGCACTTGTATCAAGCGTGCTGCGAACATTTTTGCGTGCTCATGGGTAGTACGATCATGTCACCAGCCTCGTGGCTAAAGGTGGCGGACATTCAATTCAGACCCCCCTTCTTTGATCGGTACCCTCCAAGGTCGCACCAGGAGGGCCTCCAGGGCCTCCCGAAAGTCCCAAAGTGGATCCCCATGAGGGCCCCATCAGCTCCTACATTGCTGTAAAATGTTCGAAGAGGCCTCCAAGAGGCTCCCAGAGCAAAGGTCCACAAATGCATGCATGTTTGAATCGTTACCGTCGCCGTCATTATCGCCATCGCATTATCCGCCGTCCTTCTCAACCTCCTCCTATTCCTCCACCTTCCTCCTCCTTTTTCTCCATATGAACAACTCGCTCGTGTGTGGCGCCTCCGAGGCCAGTCGAAGTGGCGAGCCAGGCGTTTCGAATGAGACTTCCTCACTCTTTATGACCCTGAAGCTTAAACCTGAGCAGCAGCTTCACAGATGGAGGGTGGGCCGTTTAGAATGTGTCTATCGACTTCGCGCCGCGCGCATTCGTTTTAAACGTTTGCAAGAAATTCACAAGTTGAGGGCGGCTCGTTTTCAAAATGTGGCTCTCGCCTTAACGCAACGCGCTTTCGTTGTAAACATTTGCAAGGGCTTCACGGATTCACGGCGGCTCGTTTCCAAAATGTGGCTCTCGCCTTCGCGCCGCGCGCATTAGCTTCAAGCATTTGCAAAAGAGTTTCACGAATTGAGGGCGGCTCGTTTTCAAAATGTGGCTCTCGCCCTAGCGCCGCGCACCCTTGTTCTAGAAATTTTGCAAAAGCTTCACGGATTGAGAGTGGGTCGTTTTCAACATATGGATCTCGCCTTATCGTCGCGCGCATTCGTTCTAAACATGTGCAAGAGCTTCACGGATTGAGGGAGTGCCGTTTTCAAAATGTGGCTCTCGCCGTAGCGCCCCGCACGCTCGTCTTGGACGTGTGCAAGCCATTTTTTGACGGATTTCCATGGTCAACGTGCCAGAAACTGCGCTTTGCAGCGGTTCCTGATCGTCAGGATGCAACAATTGTGTTGGTTCGCGGTGTTGACGTCCCAGGAGTGACGCTCTGGCACAATTCTGGATCGTGACGACGCAACAGTCGTGTTGACTCGTGGCGTTGGGGTCTGGAGAATGATGTTTTGGGGAGCGTCAGGATCTTCAAACAGTTGTCTCCCAACGCAGCAGTTCTCTTAGTGGAAGTGTGCACTTGTAGGGTCCTATGAAGAGGAAGCTTGGAGGGAGGTTTTATTCCAACATCGTTGATGCGTCTCGGGTTTGCACTGGTCCTCCTCCTCCTCCTCTTCGGCCTCCTCCTCCTCCTCCTCCTCCTCCTCCTCCTCCTCCCCCTTCCCCCTCTCCCCCCCTCCTCCTCCTCCTTCTCCTCCTCCTCCTCCTCCTCCTTCTCCTCTTCCTCTTCCTCCTCCTCCTCCTCCTCCTCCTCCTCCTCCAAGCCAAGGTTAACGAAACATTGAACGATGACGTGCTTACGTAAAGTTATCCTTCTTCTGCTCGCCTGTCTCCTCCTTCTGCTGCTTCTCCCGCTCCTCTATTATCCTCTCTCCTCTCTCCTCCTCTTCCGCTCCCTCCTCCCTCCTCGTGATTCTCCTCCGCTCTTGCCCGTTCGACAGGTCTGCGACGGCACACGTGTTTCACTCCTGGGCGATCCCAAACTTCGGTGTGACGGCTTCCAGAGCTCTTCGTTCCCACGGAATGCTCCCCCGCTCCCCTGAGCGAGGCAACTCGCCTGGGCATCGTTGCTGGATGGGCTGGTGGGGACACGCGAAGCCCTAAGATTTCCACACCGCCAACTCACGTGACTGTTGCGTCCTGGCAATCCGAAATCCTGCCAGAACGCTGTTCCTGGGACGTCAACCATCGGAATGCTTGAAACTGCTGATTTCTAAGACGAAAGTGCGCGGCGCCGAAGCGAGAATTACATTTCGAAAAAGAGCCGCCCTCCATCATTGAAGCTGTTGCGCACTTTAATGGCGAATTGGCGCGGCGTTAAAGCGAGGGCCAAACATTGAAAACCAGCCGCCCTTCATCTTTAAAACGGCTGTACACTTTTAAAACGAATGCGTGCGGCGCTGAAGCGAGCACCACATTTTGAAAACGGCCCGTCCTGCATCCGCGCTGTTGCCAACTTTAGAAACGAATCTGCGCGATGCCAAAACGAGAATTATATTTTGACAGCCACCCGCCCTCAATCCGTGAAGCGGTCGCACATGTTGAGCGCCAAGATCATGAATGGTGAGGACGTCTCAGGCGAAACGCCAGGCCCGCCCGACCGATACGTCTAGGGGTGCGACAGGGAAGAGCTATGACTTAGCAAAAAGGATGGAGGAGAAAGAGAAGCCGGCGGACGGTAGAGGACGGTGGGAGCCCGAATGCGTTGTCCCACGCCGCAGCGGGGCGCGATCAACGTCCCAGCAACGAACGGCAGAGCCACGCCACGGACACGTCCCCGCAGCGTGACAGATGTTCGGTCCACAGAAGCCCCTGCCCGCGAAGGCCGCTCGCTCATCGGCCAGCTCAAGTGGCGGTCCCGCGAGCGCGGCCGAATCACAGCCGAACATACATCGCATGCCATTCTGCAGTGAGAAGCCCCGATGTGCTCGCGTCGTGAACAAAACACGACGGAACATTTCAGGGTGTTTTCGGCCTCTCGGGGCCGTCGCCGGGCCCCTGGACCTCCAAACAACCACTCAGAACGAAAAGGCGGCCCTGGGGAAAAGGTGGCCTGGGACTGCGCGCAGACAGAGCCTGGAGGTACAGTTGCCGCGCATGGCAAGGGCGAGGCGCACTCCCAAGGGTGCCCTGACATCCTGGCCTCTTCGGCCCACCCTTAGCTTATCCTTCGCGCGCTCAGGAAGCTGCAACCTGGGCGGCCGAGGGGCCCGAATCCTTACAACGCATCCTCATCATGCGCTGGATCTTGTCGTCTGGCTTTCGGGTCTCGACCCCGGGTCTCTGGCGGCCGTTCGGAACCATCCGGGCATCCCCGGAAGCCTCTCCGCGAGGCACGGTCGCTGAATCGCACCCGGATGCAGGAAAGCCTCCAGGACCCAACGAAAACATTTAAGTCGGGCCTGTCCCCCTACAGGGGGATTTTCGACGAAAAATAAAACACACCCCAAAGATAATCCAAAACTATGCCAAACATGGTCTGGGGACTATTCTTGGGGTATTGTTTGACCTTCTCGGGGTACTTGTGGGGGTATCTTTGATCTGTCGTCGAAAATCCCCCTGTAGGGGCACAGGCCCGACTGAACCCTGCAGCAGCCCCTCCCGAGGGCAGCCCGTGGCGGTCTCGGCGCACACCGCGTCCTCGAGCGCGGGAGCGCACCCAGCGGCGCCGGCACGAGG